GCAGTGGCCGGGAGCGGCCACTGCGCTCCGGTCTGGGCGACAGAGTGAGACTCCGACTCAATAAAATAAAATAAAATAAATAAATAAATAAAAAGAAAAAAAACACCTATCAATATAGCAACAAAAACACAATATTCCTGAAGATAAAATTAATTTAATTAAGCAGACAACTATTCAACTTTACTGAAGGACATATGTTAGTTCGTTCTTTTTCTCATATATTCATTAACTCATTTTTGAATAAGACAGGCGTAGTCCTTGCTTCTGTAAAACTTGCTATTCGCCGACCTCAACAACTGAAATAGTATGTTCATAGATTAAAATGTGCAGTACTGAACAAATGCAATTTTGTCTAAATTCATCTATAATCTTTAAAAATTTTTATTTTATTTTATTTTTTATTATTTATTTTATTTTTTTTGAATCGGAGTCTCACTCTGTCGCCCAGACTGGAGTGCAGTGGCCGCTCCTGGCTGCCGCAGCCTCGACCTGCTGGGCTCCGGCGATCCTTCTGCCTCAGCCTTCCGAGTAGCCGGAACTACAGGCGCGTGCTCCCACGCCCGGCTAATTTTGATTTATTGTAGAGATGAGGTCTCGCCAAGTTGCCCAGGCGGGTCTCGACCCCGCGGGCTCAGGCCATCCACTCACCTCAGCCTCCCAAAGGTGCGGGATTACAGGCTGAGCCACCGAGCCTGGCTCTAAAAAAAATTTTAATCAAAACTCAAGAATACTATTTTGGGGGGAACTTGGCAAAATACAGAAGCAAAAACGGGAAAAGTCACGAAAGTCTGGAAAGCCATAATACTCACAGAGATTTGTTCTACTTGGTATTAAAACATATGAGAATTAAACAAGGAGAAATGGCCAGACGGCAGAACCAGAAATGGATCAGACCCAGACTTAAGCAGACTTGAGAATCAAGTAAAGAACAGAAGCCAGCATTTCTTATAATGAAGCAGAGAAAGGGTGGCACGTCCATCAGGTCTAAGCAGGAGGGAGGTGACACACACAAACGAGTGACTGACGTGACCTTAAAGAAAGGATGCTTATAAGGCAGACACAGGCATTTAAAAAAGGAGAAATGCATGGTTTAAAAAAAAAAGAATATAATCACCCCCAATACTTATCAAAGAGATACAACTGAAATAAGGTATCATTTTAGTCCAATTTTGCAAAAATCAAAGAGATTTTAAAAAAATTAAAATGTCTGCTCATACCCGGTATAACCAAAGGTTCAGGAAGACAAGAAGTCACACACCATGGGTAAGAATGTAAGGCAGGACCCCTTCTGGCGGGCAGTGAGGTAACAGGTATCTTTGACCTACCAAATCCACATCTAAAAATTTATCCAAGAGGAATATTCAGCAAAGTGTGCCAACATGCTCAGGAGAGCTGTTGATAATAGCAACAGCTTTGGAGTTGCCTAAAGAATGGAAATAATGGCTGATTTGTTCAGCGCCGACTACAGGCAGATACCATGCTAAGCCCTCGCTGGACACCTCTCATCCAGTCCTCACAACACCCTCATGAGACAGGCCCTGAGGAGAGAAAGAGGCCAGAATGTCCAAAGATTAAGTCATGGAGTAAGTTACCCAGCTCAGTGGAGAGAGATCCTCACATGTCTTGGCATGCTCTGAATATTCTGTGATAATGTTCCTTATCAGAAAAAAAAAAATAAGCAAATATCTACTTAAAAGCAAAACAAAAAAACAAACAACAACAACAAAAAAAAAAACCAGGCTGGGCATGGTGGCTCAAGCCTGTAATCCCAGCACTTTGGGAGGCTGAGGTGAGAGGACTGCCTGAGCCCATGGGTTTGAGACCAGCCCGGGCAACTTGGTGGGACCTCATCTCTACAATAAGTCAAAAATTAGTCAGGTGTGGTGGCATGTACCTGTAATTCCAGCTACTTAGAAGGCTGAGGCGGAAGGATCACTGAGCCCAGCAAGTCGACTACATTCCAGCCTGGGCAAAAAAGTGAGACTCTAACTCAAAAAAACAACAATAACAACAAAAAAACCTTTGCATTCTCTGGAAAGGAAATTTGCTTTTTAGTGTAGCCATTTTAAAGCCCATTTCTTTAAAATAGAACAAAATCACATTGTGAAGCTTTGCTGATCATAAAACACCACACAGATATACAAGTTGGATTTGAAAATGAATTGCCCTAATGCAGTTGGCCAAACCACTTCTGTGGTACCTGCCTGTGTTTCTCTCAAGCACAAATGTGGAATGGAGAAAATAGAATTCCTCCAAACGTTCTCATTTTCGTATGACTGACATTTGTAGAGTCCCTTTTAGGCTAAAATGACATGGTTGGAAGCCTCAGCTGAACAGCAGTCAGCCATGCCCACAACATGTGATTTTTTTTTTCACTTGCTTTAATGTGGAATTCAGCACATGACCTAATTGGAACCTCACTGATGCCATAAAAATGCCCATTTCTCCAAGAGTCTCCCTTTAAAATTGCCTGCTATTCTTGTAGCTCTGGCACCAAGCAACGGACACACTAAATCTTAAAGAAACTATTCCACAAAAACAACTACAGACATTTCCACAGACATGTAGATTGTCGAGCGTCCCACAGACCTGTGGCAAGTTACATCTAAGAATTCAGGCAGCCTGTGAAAAGCTGGTACAAAGCTGCTGCCCCTGAGTTGTTTTCTACCCAGAAAGTCAACTTTCTGGTAAACCTGAGTCCTGAAACACTATCAGTTTCCCTCCTCTAACTCCAAAATACGACCCAGACACCCAGGGACCGGGATATAGATTTATAAACAAGACGGCAGTCAAAAAAACCCTACCTAGGTCAAGCGACTCACATTCTCTATTTAAGAAAGAAGGTCAAGTGCGGAAGCTTTCAAAGGATTATCCACTTGATTTTAAAAGCAGTAGTCAGGCTGGGGGCTGTGGCTCACGCCCATAATCCCAGCACTTTGAAAGGCCAAGGCAGGGAGGATTGCTTGAGCCCAGAAGTTCAAGATCAGCCTGGCCAACAAAGGGAGACCTGGTCTCCACAAAAAGTCAAAAAATTAGTCGGATGTGGTGGCACATGTCTACAGTCCCAGCTTCTCGAGAGACTGAGAATGGAAGGATTGCCTGAGACCAACAGGTCGAGGCTGTGTTGAGCTGTGATCCTGTCATTGCACTCCAGCCTGTGACCCTGACTTAAAAAAAAAAAGCAATGGTCAAAACATGTAATTTTTTCTTTTCAAGCCTGAGTCTCAAAAACGCCAGCCTCCTAAAGTGCTGAGATTACAGGCGTGAGCCACTGTAGCCAGTGACAATTTTTTTTTTTTTTCTAAACTAAAAGTAGTCCAAAATGAATCAACTACCAGGACTACTATGGAAAGTAAAATTCTTTGAAGCATTTTGAATCATGCTGGGATTAATTCCTACAGCCCATTCCTGTGCTGGACAGCTCAGAGATGGGCACCATCCTCCACCTCATCCCCTCTGTCTCTTCCTAAATGCAAGTTGGAAGTGATTTATTAAAACTCGAACTGATGGAGTTGGAGAGAGGAGGAAGAGGAAGGTGTTTCAGGCAAGAAAGGGTATCCTGGCCCCAGCCTAGGGGGGATTTCTCCTGTGCTCTCCATCAAAGCACCTCTCCCGTTTCCCACCTGAATCCCCTGCTGACCCACAGGCCCAAGGCAGGGCTCGTGGCCTCCCAGCACCCCGCACAGTGCCAGACACAGGTGGGCCTATAAGGGTCTGCTGAAGGAGAGAGGAGGCCAGATGCCAGGAATTCGACAGGGAGAAAAACAAACAAAAAACTCTAGCTATTCAAGGATTTAAGGGTAATAAGTTCACATCTTTGATTTTCCTTAAAATGCATCACAAAAGAAGACAGATTGGTGAACAGACATAGGGATGCATAAATGGACACATATGTGATAAAGAAACTATAGCAAAATGTTCTTGGCAGAATCTAGATAGTGAATATATAGGGGTTCACTAAAATTTTTCAGTAAGTTCACCAGCTGGGCTCGGTGGCTCATCCTGTAATCCCGTGCCTTTGGGAGGCTGAGGTGAGTGGATTGCCTGAACCCACGGGTTCGAGACCTGCTTGGGCAGTGAGACCTCATCTCTACTATAAA